CCACCAGGCGGCAGCTCCTGCACTGACCATCTGCCCCCCGTTGGTCAGTGCACATCATGGCAACTGATAGTCTTTTATTATATAGGAGGATCATTAGTAATATTTGTTAGTCAATGTTAAGTGTTTGACTAGGTATGTTCCTCCAATACAACTGATTTCATAATAATCTCCTTTGGCTATTTTCAGGAACAAACTGGGGCTTTTTTGGAAAGCCAAGAGACCTGTACATTGCTGATTAGAATCTAACAGTTTCCTCATAATTATTCTCCCTTCAATGTGTAAATCAAATTTCTAAAGCAAAGATTTAGTTGATCAATTCATTATTTCCCATCTAAGTGTTTTAAATGCCTAAATCACATTAATTCAAAACAGTTTTAAGAAAACTCAACTTTCAAGAAGTAAAACCAGCAATAAAAATTTATTGCATTATATTTATACACCAAGGAACCTAAGGTCACAAAATATTATACTACACATAGTAAGCAGGTGTTTGCCTTAGCAGAGATACTGATCCTTGCTGTTCTTGTTTCTCATGTATTTGAAGGTCTTAAATATATTCCAGTGCCATTTTAATGAGCTTTGTTTGTTTTCCCCAGAAAGCATAAAACTGTGTTATAACTATTTTTATCACCTTCACCATACCCACCCCAACAGTAGGTAGTGGTAGTCTTCAGGAAGTGGCCAATGAAAATAAATGACTTTTGCCCTAGCCGGTTTGGTTCAGGGGATAGAGTGCCTGCGGATTCAAGGGTCCCAGATTCACTTCTGATCAAGGGTGTGTACCTTGGTTGCAGGTCTCTATCTCTCTCTCTTCCTCTCTGTAAAAAAATCAATAAAGTATATTTAAAAAAAAAAAAAAAAAGAAGAAGTAACTTTTAAAAACAACTTAAGCCTGGCTGGTGTGACTCAGTGGTTGAGCTTTGGCCTATGAACCAGGAGGTCACGGTTCGATTCCTGGTCAGGGCACATGCCAGGTTTCGGGCTCCATCCCCAGTAGGGGTGCATGGAAGGCAGCTGATCAATGTTTCTCTCTCATTGCTGTTTCTATCTCTCTATCCCTCTCCCTGCCTCTAAAAAATCAATAAAAATATGTTTAAAAATAAGTAAGTAAACAAAAATGCTCAATGAAAGTCCCTTCAAAAATATCTTTAAAGGGGAATAAAAATTATCACCGACTAGCAATAGTAAGAGTTTCAAATTTATATGAAGATAGGCCAGGCAAGTGCCATAGTAAGCAGGTAGGAACTATAAACTATACATAAAAGCTTCCTGCAGCTATTTGCCTCCATCTCTCCATCCTGTTATTGCTATGAAGAATGCAGTCCTGGTGCCACAAGATCTTCCAATTTTTCATGAGAAGCCAGAAATTCAAATCAGGAAAAACTTCCACTTTCAAATGTTGGCATTTAAGAAACAAACAATAAAACACTGTGTAGTGCAGGCCAAATAAAATGTATCTGCACACTGAATTTGGCCTTACAGTATATAACCAGTGCTAGCTACACAGCAATAATACTCTAAAATCAGAAGCCTTAGTAAGAAGTTCAAATATCTGCATCCCAGACCTTAAACACCCTAGGACTATTATACTCATAGATTCTCCATGTAGTCTTTCTCTTTTGAAGACTAATTTTTGGGTTAATTTTTTAAAACAGCCTAGTACTTTATTATTTTTTAAAATACACATAAAAATATCAAAACTATTAGTATTGAGGTGGCTAATTTAGATTTATATTAGTAAAATTAGAATTATAATATGTAGAAAATGTATATATTAAAACTCATTTAAAAAATATAATGTTTTACAAACTGTGTTAAATAGGTAAAATCAAGTGTCAATCAGCTGGGTCCTTAGCACCAGCTGAGACATCAGGAACTGGCCATCCTGATGGCCACCTTTCCCTTAACAACATGAAAATGGAAAAACAAACAGAGGGAAGAAGTAACAACAATGTTAATTGGCAAGTTATTTCTGTTACATAATATATAATAACAGTGCCAAAGGATTCTAAGACTCAGTACAATTTTCTTTACTGTTTTAGCTCCACTAAGTAGATTAGATGGCTAAAAAGGATAAACTAGCAAGACCTATTTGGAAACAAAATCTACTGGATTAAAAAAGAAATGCTATATGGGGCAGTGCCCAAAGATATAATCCCTTGTGAACAAGGTGGCAGCTTGGCTTTATCAGAGCTGAGTTTAATCACTTGACAGCTGTGTGACTTTAAGCAAGTTGTTTAACTACTCTGAGCACCATTCCCTAATGTATAAAAAAGAATAAACACTAGCTACTCTAATTCTCATTATGAGAATTGTTATACATCTTAAATATGTCTTAATTCATTCTCTTAGCTGAAATTTGAATCCATTCCACAACACTAGTTTAAAAACTTCTGGTGGAATAGCTACACAGACAAGAGATCTCAACATTCCTCAAAACAGTCCTTTTTATCCTCACACTTTTTTCTCTTACTAAACTAAAATCAGCTTCCTCGTGAATTCAACCCCATCAATCACACTGTAGTTTAAATCTTACTAGGTAAGCTAATTCAAGCTCCTCAATGATTGAAGCTATTTAGCATTGAAGCCCCAGCACCTAGAACAATAAGCACATAGGAAGTGTACAGTAATAGTTACAGATTGAGTAATACCTTCTGTGCAGTAATTACTGACTGATCTTTGAAATGCCAATACAAAGAACACAAATATGTACATTTCTGGAGGTGATCATTTAATGTTTAAGGTTTAAAAGTTGAAATATACATAACCAAATGCATGCTGTTTTTTAAAAATCCTTCAGATAAAGTAAATGAAAGCAATTTACCTGTATTTCAAATAGTGATGCTATTCAATGATAGATGATAAAGTTCCTTCAAAGTAATAGGCCTATTATTAATGGCTTCATAACTCCTATTCATAATTTCCTTCAGATTTAACTGAATTCTAAGTTTTAAAAAAATCCTAAAAATGATATGCTGCCTCACTGCCACTGACTATTCTGCAAATAACCCGCAAATAATAAGCCAGTCAAATTTTTATTACCTGAGTTACCCAGAAAATATCAGAACCAACACTATGATAGAATATCAAAATCTGCAAAAAGTTTTCTCATGACTTTCTTAACCTCACACTATTATAAACCTCTCACTGCTCAAACAATAGAATTCATTTATAATTTAGTCACTTACTATGTTTCAGAGCTTAAAGCAAGTTCCATAAACTATGTTCAACTTCACAGAACAAGAAATCAAACATGGTGAACAACTAGTTCACCATCCTCTGCAAATGTATGTAAGTATTTCCATTATAAAGTAAACTTCTCCAGCTACCTGACAGCTTTAGTTTTAAGCTGTTACTCTGGGCTATTAGCCTAAAACAGTGGTCAGCAAACTCATTAGTCACCAACAGAGCGGCAAACCGCGGCTCTCCAGCGGTTTGACGACCACTGGCCTAAAACAAAACATAATTAGTAAGGGAAATCTGCCACATACACAAGTCAATAACCCATCCTAAACCCAAACATAAATATTTCTGCATTATCTTGGTCACTAATGTTTGAGACTGATGGAAAATTAGCGATCTAGACTGAAATAGGCAACTTCCACTAACAGCAATAGGTAGGGCAAATACCAGGTTGAGATAATCTATAATAACAATCTATAATAATAAAAGGGTAATATGCTAATTAGACCGTCTACAGGACGACCTTCCAGACGTCATTCTGGATGTCCTTCCGGACGAAACCACAATGGGGCTGAGGCAGAGGTGGTTAGGGGTGACCAGGCAGGCAGGAGAGTGGTTAGGGGAAATGAGGCAGACAGGCAGGCGAGCAGTTAGGAGCCAGTGGTCCCAGATTGTGAGAGGGTGCAGGTTGAACTGAGGGACCCTCCCCGCCTACTCCCAACCCCCGCACCCCTTGCCAGGCACGATTGCCTGCACGGGGCCTCTAGTTTTATGATAAAGGAGAAAACCCAAAAGAGTCAAACATTTTAATGAACACAAAATTAAAGTGGAATTAAATATTCAGCCATTATTTAGAAGAAACAGCCATGCATGACACTTTCTACTCCAACAACAATCCTTTCCGGACCAAAGTCTGGCCCTACAAAACTTCCTTTTCCTTTCCACTCCTCCTATGGCATTAAAAACCAAAAACCAAAAACCCCAAACACCAAATGAACCAAAACAAACCTTGTGCCTTAATCAACACAGTAGACTACATAAAACTAAGCCATCAGAAACTGGGGAGCTTTAGAAGCTAAAAATCACTACCTAGCACTCACATGCTACCTGCAGGGTGAGAGTCAGGTCCTGGGAGAGGAACTTGCAGCCCTAGAGGTGACCCAGGAGGGGCAGAGGGTGGGAACCTCCAGAAGGGCAGACAGCATTAACGACGATATGTATCCCAACGCGTTTCTCCTGGACAAGCTGCTACCACCTTCTGCCCTGAGAGCTGTCCTTGCAAGAGGCCCGCAGCTGCGAACCTAACAGTCCGGGGCGCCAGCACGTTCCTCCTGCCCGCACTCCGTGACCAGGCGCGAGCTCTCGGCGTGGCCCAGGCGATGCTGCAAAGTGGCCTCAATGCAGCAGCCACATCCAGTTCCTCCGCAGCCCCAGAGCCAACTCCTGGGGATGAGGGTGGACTTACCGCCATTCCACCCTCCTCCGTGCGCTGCTTGCACCCACACTGACAGCACCCTGGGCGCCCAAGAACACGCAAAAAAAAAAAAAAAAAAAAAAAAAAAAAAAAAGGGTTCCCAGCTCCTAGTAGTGCCCTTCCAGGAAAAGGGGTGCGCTGATGGCCTTTCCCTGGGGCTCTGGGCCAGGGTTGGGAGATCCCTGGCCGAGCAGGAGCTGGGGGGAAGCCGTTGTCCTTCCCACTCCCGCAGGCAGCCGGAGCCCCGAACCCTGCAGCGAGCACCCCCTTCCCCTCCGTCCCCACCCCCACTCCCCCCGCACCTGTGGGTGCCTCTCCCCCCCCCCCCCCCCACGCCTCTCACCTGATCTTGTAACTGGGCAGGGTGTGCTTGCGCTTGATGACTTTCTTGAGCTGGTTGACGATGATGGAGGTGAGCTGGGGCATGGGCCGCCCCTCGAACTGCGAGCGCACCTCGAAGTCGATGAGCGGGTCCTCCACGAAGGAGAAGAACCAGTGGGTGAACGGCACGCGGGTGAGCACGAAGCGCAGCCTGCCCACCACGCGGGACAGCTTGACGAACAGGTAGGCGGACTTGCCGAACACCAGGTCCACGTCGATGGCCAGGTGGAAGCCGCCGTGGTACTCCACCTCCGCCTCGAAGGCCAGCTCCTCCGGGGAGGCGGCGGGCAGCGCGTCCCCCGCGTCGGGGCCGTCGGGCTCCCCGGCAGCGGCGGCGGCGGGGGCGCCGGCCGAGGGCACCACGGGCCGCAGGAGGCGGATGGTCTTGATGAAGGGCACCGTCTCGCCCAGGAACACGTCCCGCAGGCTCAGCCCCTCCAGCAGGCGCCCGGCCGTCTTGGTCTGCAGCAGCTCCTCGAACTCCACCTTGATCTTCTTGGTGACCCAGCGGCGGGCCAGCGCCGTGTCCCGCAGCTCCCGGAACAGGAACAGGATGGTGGCGTTGAGGAAGTAGCAGGTCTCCCGCGTCGGCGGGCCGGGGGTCTCGGGGGCCGGGGCCGCGCCGCCCTCGGGGGCCCCGCCGGCCGGCTCCTCAGCCCCGCCGCCGCCGCCGCCGCCGCCGCCGCCGCCATAAAGGTATTCCCGCAGGGACAGGCCCGGCACCGGCCTGAGGTAGCGGACGCCGTCGCGCGCGCGGGCGGCCTCGTCCGGCGGCGGCTCGGGCGGCCGGCGGTAGAGCAGCAGGAACTGCGCGAGGAGCGTGAGGAAGGAGCCCAGCACGGCCGACGCCAGGATCATGAGCAGCAGCCCCATCCCGCCCCCGCCGCCGCCGCCGCCGCCGCCGCCGCCCGGACGACCCGGGCCGCCGCCGCTCCCGCGCCCACAGCGCGGCTCTCTTCACGCCGCCGCCCCCGCTGCCTCCATCTTGAGGACATCGGGCGGCGGGGTCGGGACGAGCTGCTCCCTGGGCCTCGGCCGGCGGCTCCGGCCGGCGCCGCGCGATGCTCGAGGCTGCAGCCGCCCGCGGCTCCTCAGACGCTCCCCGAAGGCGGCTGGTTCCCCGGCGGCGGCGGCGGCGGCGGCGGCGGCGGCGGCGGCGGCGGCGGCGGCCGCAGGGGGGCGGGACGGCGCGTCCCTTCAGCCGTCGCTCATTGGCTGGAAGACACGTGACGTCAGTAGCGTGCGCGTCCCCGGCGGCGTCGCCGGGCGGCCGGCGCGCGGCGCGCGGGCGCGGGCCCCTCTTCCCCGGCGGAGCGCCCTCGCAGCCCCGCCCCCCGCCCCAACGTTCCATCCCCCGCGGCCCACGTGCCTGTCACTTCGGAAGCTGCTGTGGACGTCGGCGAGGTTAGCGGGGGCCCCCGGCGGGAGGGTGGGAGAGCCCGGCGGGGGTGCACGGCGTGGCGCGTGCTGGATCCTGGTCACCCCGTTATCTTCCAGGGCGCCCATCCCCCCGGCCCTGGCCGCGGTCCCCGTGGGCTACCTCTGCTGCAGTGGGGTTCTGCCACTCGCGCCCCGGAGACGGGGTCCGGCGGCGTTTCCATCCGCAGGCGAGGCTCAGCACTGGCCATTCGGAGACTTCCTAAGCCCAGGACTGCCTGTCTGGGAGATGCTGTCGCTGACCAACCCATCCAATTCTCTGCGTCCTCTCTGCGTCCGCGGAGGGTGGGCCCTGGGAAGGAGGGACAGAGAAAAAAACAAAACAAAACAACAACAACAACAACAAAAAACAAGATAAGACTTACCACCCAAGTGGATATTCAAGATTTAAATGAGAAGGAACTAAAAGAGCTGGGATGGGAAAGATGAGTGAGATGGATTTGTCAGGCTATTGGAAGGTGGGTAACCTTCCATCAAACTTACCATCAAACTCTTGCAGTGGGTTGAGCGCCCTGTGCATTCATTACCACCATGAGTCCATCCATGAGGCCTTTGCTTGCCCCAAGCATTTTACAAAAGCAAACACTGCCGCACAGAGGCAAACAAAGTTGCCTGGGGTGACACCGTGGAGTCTAATACTAAACCCCAAGCCCTTGGTCACTTCTCTGTCATGATACCGAGGTTGCCAGAGTTGGAGGGGGGGGGGTGTTACTGGTTCTCTGATGCACAGGAAGGGGAAGTTGGGGTGGGGGTGGGAATTTTGCACAGGGGAGCATCTTGGCCAAAGCCATAGAGGTAAGGAAGCCAGGTTGCCCAGCAACATTGGTATTCCTTATGCCCTTTGGTTGTTTGGTTGTTACATCACAGATGCTTATATGGCTCCAATCACAAGGACACAAAAAACAGTTCTACCTTCAAGAGTCCGACAAGGGTCAGATATTACATACCTAAAAGTCAGACCAGTGGTGGCTGGCTCTGAGGAGCCAGGGCAGATTTATCACTCGCCCTCCAAGATTTTTAAGCCAGGGTTTGTTTAGACTCTGCGTTATTCTAGAACAAAAACAGTTTGGCCACATCCTGACCCAACGGGAGCAGGTGCAGAACTCTGAAACCTGGCCCGTCTTATCTTACTCACGCCCAGGTGTAAGACCAGCTGGCTCGTTTACTACGACAATGGAAGACAGGTGTCTGCTGAGAAGCTAGGCTCAACCCCCACCTTCTACATCCAGAGGAAGTCTTAGGCCCTACTGGGATTTCTGGGAGCTTGAGGCTAGTGGTCACCTGTGGCTCCTGGCCTCTGCTTCCGGGTCACTGCTTCCGATCTCCACTGTTCCAACACAGATGGAAAATGTAGACCCTTCCTCAATTTCCACCAAAAGCCTAGTTTATAAAACTCATGCACCATCATAGAAAATGTCACAGAAGCTGGAGATGGGTTGGAGCGGAAGAATCGTTCCTCATGATGCTGAGATACAAGATACAACAGCCTCAAGCTGTATATTGACCTGTCCTACATCTTAAAATAGGTTTCCACCACCTCCTCACCCACAAGGGAGGCGGTTGTTCTTCACGGGAAGGGGTCTTCAGTTTCATGCTCCATCAGGCTCCTCCCTCTCCTCTCCGCCTCTCCCCTCTTTCTGACTCCCCAGATGGATTACTTCTGGGAATCTCAAATCTTTGAAAGCCATTCTAGAGGCAGTTGATTCCCCGGCAAACCTTGTCTCCTAAGGGTTGCACTCCAAATCCATGAAGGAGCTCAGCACACCTTTCAGGAAGATAAAAATACTTTCCCCCCTGTGTTAAAAGTGGCAGCATTAGTTGAACACTTACAATAATACTAGTACTATTTATAGAGAACTGACTGTGCGCCAGGCACAGCGTGAAGCACTTTATGTGGTGTATCCCATTTAAAAATCAGCATGTCACTGGGTGATGACGCTGTCCCACCATCCCTCCAAGGTCTGGATTCACGGGTCTAGGCCCTCCCCCCAGGCTGACCCATCAGAGCCCACCTGGGCAGTCATTCCATGGTTTCCACCTGCACATGCCTGCCAACTTTGGAGCTTTGCTGCTTTGCCTTTCTCTAGTCATCAGCTAATCCAGGAGTTCTCAACCTCAGCACTGTTGCCATTTGGAGCTGGAAATTCCTTATTGGGGCCGGTTTGTGCGTTGCAGGAAGCGATGCTGCGTTACTAGAAGCTTAGTTGTTTTTCATGGCATTCCCTGGAAGAATATCAATCCAGCAGCCTTTTTTCCCCCCTTCTTCTTTAATATTAATGCTGGTTCATAGAAACTCCAGAGTCTGAGAACTTTGGCCCCGGCTCTGAAAAGTCATGATTCTGCGTAGGTATTTGAAGGAAGAAGGTACTTAGCTTTCATGCTGACCTTTTGATGAGGCTTAAATGACATCACTGAAATTAAGCTGCCCCAACAGCCTTCATGGGAAGTATCCATTTCAAGGGTAAAGGCTGCTGAATACTGGAAGATGTAAGATAAGCATTCTCACCAACTAGAGGGAGGCATAGACCACTTCTGCTACTAAACTCTGAATCTTTCAGGCCAGGCCATGTAAATATAGAGAGTTTGGAAGTAGGATGAATGAAAACCAACATAATAAAAATGTAATTATATATTCCTATGTAAAATAATGTAAGTATAGCAAAATATGGTGAAAAGCAGAGAAGTTTAGGACGATTGCCTAAAAATGATAAACCATTTTTGTGAACTGTCAGAATTCAAATTCACCTGTTTTTTGAGCACCCAGCATGTGCCGGGTTCTGGGGACACTGAATGAATAGGACGGAATCCCTGTCGCCAGGTCAAGGAGGATGCAGACACATATCTACTTAACTGATGTTAAGAGTGTGTTGTGCCTGGCTAGCATGGTTCAGTAATTGAGTGTCTATGAACCAGAAGGTCACAGTTTGATCCCCGGTCAGGGCATATGCCTGGCTCATGGGTTCGATTCCCGGGGTGGGTCATGTCATGCAGGATGTAGCTGATCAATCATCTCTCATCATTGCTGTCTCTCCCTCTCTTCCTCTCTGAAGCCAATAAAATTATATATTTATTTTTAAAAGAGTGTCTTGCTGCAAAATTTGCAGCTGGTGATTTTTCAGAAACCTGGGAAAGGTCTTCTCTCTCTCTCTCTCTCTCTCTCTCTCTCTCTCTCTCTCTCTCTCTCTCTCTCTCTCATCTCCCTATTCCTCCTTGACCCAACCACACGCAGAATCTTGTCTCTACATCTCTTTACAAGTCTGTTCCACTTCCCTCCATAAGGCTCTTGGTTCCTGCTTCCTCATAGCCTCAGCATCAGGCAGCTTTGGAAGGCACCAGCTCTACACCCAAATCTCGAGGGTTCTATGTTTCCGGTGCCTACTGTGACCTGCTATTTCAATTTCTTTTTTTAAAGTCTTTTTAAAAAATACATTTTATTGATTTTTTTACTGAGAGGAAGGGAGAGAGATAGAGAGCTAGAAACGTCAATGAGAGAGAAACATCGACCAGCTGCCTCTTGCGTACCTCCTACCGGGGATGTGCCTGCAACCAATGTACATGCCCTTGGCCGGAATCGAACCTGAGACCTTTCAGTCTGCAGACTGATGCTCTACTGCTGAGCCAAACCGATTTCGGCTGCTATTCCATTTTCAAGTGCTGGAGGAGAAACCCCAGATGGGCTCTACTAATCCTATCATTTATCCCCTCGGGTCTTGCCTCTTCTGAGCTGCTAGTGGGTGGAGCGATTTCTCCAATGATGGAGAGAGGATTGAGACTGAGCATAGATGGGCAATGCTAGGTCAATAGGGGATGAAGGGTTAATCCTGGCTGGGGAATGTGGGAAGTTTCTTGGAGCAAATGGAATTTGCATTGGCCTCTGATAATTAGAAGGGCATTTAATCAGAAGGAGACCAAAGCTCAAAAGTTGGAAATCCAACAGAGGGTAGGGAAATTGCGACCAGGATGGCTGGAGGGTGGTTTGAATAGGGTCATTGCAGGAGGAAAGGAGATAAAAGTAAAGTTGGATTGAGCCAAATTATGTAGGGTTTGAATGTCAGAGCAAATTTGGCTTCTATTTTGCAGTCTTTATGAAGTCACCAAAGGTTTTTAAGCAAGAGCATGACTTTTAACTCTTTTCCTTTCACCATCCAAGTCACACTGTTGCTAGAGTGCTCTCTCCCGTGCAGATCTGAACTTGGCACTTGGTGGCTAAAAATGCTTCAGTGGCTCCCCACAGCTGTATTAATAGTAATGGCTATGGTACAGCAAGAGCATAGTGAACGGGAAGCAGTGTGCTCGGCATTTCAGAAGCACTGACATTCTCACAGTTGCCTTCTGGGGTAGGCGGCGCCATCTCCATCTTAGAGATGAGGAAACAGACACATCATCAGATAAATAAGCTGATAAAGGCCTCTATCTTTGAAGAGATTTGAACAGTG